TTAATGGTCTGAAGACAAGTGGCCTACTTAAAACTCAAACTTCAAAGAAGATTAGGGAAAGAGGTTTGCAGGGCTTATTGGACAAGCTTTGTTTAAAACATAAGCCCCAACTATATTTTAAACCTCACAGAAGATGCCACTTCGCTAATGGAGAATTTTGGTGAGATTTCACCCATTAAGGAAAATCAGTAAAAGAGAAGCACATAGCCTTCTACTGCTGACCTTTTCTTATAAATGCTAATTGCCAGGCTGCCATGCTGATCCTCTGACTTATAAAGTTTCTGAGTCACAGTTCCAGGGAAAAAGCATGCATATCAGTAGTTTTAATTTGCTGTATATGAATTCTAGCTCAGTGACACAAAACATATTGAAGAAAGTCTGCACAGCACCAAGGAAACTGCCATGTTTGGAAAGATGTCTTTTGTGTACATACTGCCGACAGAGAGAATTTAGGTAAATTTTTCCTTAAAGACATATACAAGCAAGCCTTACTGTATCTATAAAGCTCACATAAGATACCATGTGCTTTCTTTAAACTTGCATTGCCTAGGGGAAGCCCATACAGGCCTGCCATGTAAAACATGGCATTACCCAGCTGTCCTATTTGGAAGAGGTTTATTTATAAAGGTCCCTGTTGGTAGTATGTACTGTAAATTATTTGGTGCTTTACACAGATTTTTACATATATATGCTAAGAATGGGGGATTGTAAGGAATATCAAAAGGATGAAGTACTTTATGAGCTAAACAAGACGACTGCCATTCTCTTATAATGAAATCGACTCACCTAAATTAAATACCAGGCCATCATCATTCATCAATTTTTAGTGTGACCCTGTCAATACAGGGTCAATACAACAAATAGAAATACCTGCAGAAAGAAGAGACTCTATACTTACCTTTCCAATGGTAATGATACTAATAATAGTAGTAAAATTCAGGGTAATGCAGAATTTGTGAATCTCACAGCATCAAGGATAAGGCTGTTTCTAAGGCTGGTGGTTCCAGCCCCAATGCTGTGTAACATTTGTCCTGAAGGGAGGAGGTAAACCAGTACAAAAGCAGAATGAGAAGAGTCCCTTATAATCATGAGGGTCATCTTTCTACTCCTGCTGTTGTAAATATCACTTATGGTGGGAAAAGCACTTCCAGTAATCTTCTGGGCAGTCTTTACCACTCGCTGCAGCAGAACAATTACTGTACTAACAAGTAATACAAGAAGTAAGGATTTTCTCCACCACACACCTATAAGATAAGATGAGGACTAAAGTGCCAAGGCCAGCACACTTCAACCTCCTCAAAAAGTAAAGGCCTTGATAAGCCTTATTCACTATGCTGGCAGTACTGGCGCTCCAGCTGAAGATATCAGAGATGTGCAGCACCATATAAAGGAAGGGATCATTCAAATAGCTGCACCCCAGAAGTACAGAGGAGGGGGAGTCTAAAAGTCAACAATCATCTCTGTTGTCTTATTTATGTTAATGGAGAGGTTGTTAACTTTGCAACAGACTTTCAGATTCTCCACTTCCTGTCTGTACATGGACTCATCACAATGAGTGAGTGATGAGTCCACTACTGCCGTATCACCTGAAAACCCAGCCTCTGCTGATTCGGCACCACTTATCCTGGACGGCTTGACCTGGCCCAGCTTTCGTCTTCTGATTCGGTGCTGCACAGCTCGCCAGTTACTGACCCGGCCGGCTTGACTCTGCTCATCTGGATTCCTGGTATCCTGCCTAGTGCTTCATTCCGGTGTCTTCAGCATCTGTACCCAGTGGCACCCGTGCGTCACGAAGTCCGTTCGGCCCTATTCCACTCTCCGGGGCGCTCAGACCCGTGCTGCAAGGGAAGGTCCTTCTTGTCATCTCAGACTCACATCAGGTACGTGACACTGCCTGCAGCTGACTGACTGATGACAACAGATCAGCCTAGGCAAAGTCACTTGACCAGAGCTCCTGCACTATGTTGAAATTATAAAAGGTGGCTTCTTTTTTTAAATTATACTGTTGCTCTATATTGTGACATGCCAAGACTTTATTCATGCAGACTTGTAAGGTTTCTGGCAGGTCTACTTTAGGTAAAAAAAATAATAATAATAATAGTACTTATTTACCAAAGTATATTCAAAATTAGCTTTCTGTGTAGCAGCTAATCAGATTTTTGCAGTGTAGGTAAGGAAATGAAAGGGAGAATCTGATGGCCATTGCGTTCCATGGCAAAGAATAATGTGAGCAAGGACTGCAGTCTTTACTGGGTGTAGAGCAAAAAGCCTGAATCACTTGCTGTAAGGAATTATACAGCACTCTAACTAGGATAAACTGAGTGCACATTCTGCTTTTAGAAGCAGTCACAAGTGTCCTAGAAGCTCACTGCTTAATATTGTTTTTCAGGAGTATCCAAAAAGTTTTTGATAAAAAAATTAAATAAAGCACCATATTTATTTGTAGTATTGAAGCATGCTTACCTATTACGTATTTCCAAGGGGTTTTTCCCCCTCCCATACTCATTAAAAGATAATTGCCAGTAACATAAACATATATAAGGCTTTCTTCTAGTTAATGCAGGAGGGTTCCCATCTTGCCAAAGCACAGCAAGTAATTAATCATTAGACATAGACTGTTATTGAATTAAGTCCGTGGCCTAGTTTCAATGCATCTTTTAAGACGTTATTGTGTTTTCCCTAATTTGAGGTATCAAATGCCATTATGTTTGCTGAAACTGCATATGATAAACAGTTAAGACATTGCACATAATTAAGAGTGTGTGCACTAATGCAGAAGAACCTGTTAGTGTTTTTAAGGCTTTGTGTTTTACATTTACACATATGGACTTTTTATTCCATTGAAGACAAAAAAGGAATAGATACATCTGGGTGCCAGTGCCATATATTTTGACCACGGTATGTACAAAAACCTTCGGTGTTGTTTGCTGGTAAATAAAGAGACCAATAACGCGCTCTTGATGTTAAAGTATAATTAAAGTCTTTTCTTTTTTGACATATATCTACTGCTAGCAAGCAGTAGATATATGCCCCATGATTAAAAAAAAAGAAAAAGGCAAATACCTAATTACTTACCTGTTCCAGCACCACTTGCTACCAGCTGAAGCACTCTTGGGTCCCGAACGGCTGTGAAGAACTGTATGGGCGCATGCGCAGAAGAGCGGAGGGGAGAAAATTAAACTGGATGGAAGTAGCCTGGCAGCTCGCACGTTGGACAGGCACTGTGGGACCTGAGGAGTCTGCGGTAGATCAGAGACCGGCACCAGCACTGGAGGGACTGTGGAAAACTAGTGAAATGAAGAAGATGATCGGATCAAGAGGCATCAATTAAGGTAAGTGCTTATTGGGGGGGGGGGGGGGGAAACCCAAAAACTTTAATGTCACTTAAGTCTAAAATGCTTTTCAACCTGTGGCCCACAGACTGTAGCAATGCTGGATATGAAATTGTAATCGCTGCGGATCACTACACTATAATAAATGCCGTGCTTTGTAATTCTTTTCCATTGCTTCTCTAGCAACATGAAAACACCATAAGGCCCCTGTGTGAATCCAGCCTATTTCTAGGCCTGTTCTTAAGTAGGATCCTATTTCTAGGAATACGTACTATTGAACATTCAAGACAGGTATTTAAGGCACGTAAAATTTTTCAGATTAATGAATAATTAGGTATCTATAAGCCTCTATTGGAATCATTTAGAGTGTCTCTTTGGCCATGTTAAAGCTTAACTCCAGTTTACAAATACAATAAAAAATATGTTTCCAAACAACTTAAAAAACTTAAAATGCAGCTCTCGCTGAAATGTACACCCTAGCTAAATCACTGTCCTCACATACTCATTCGACTTATTTAATGTGAGGCCAGGGTGTCAAGGACCTGCCTCCTGAAGTTATGTCTTCAGGCAGCACTGGACTCACAAGAGAATGCTGCAGAGATTGATGTCACGTCATTACCTGGTTCTGTCCTTAGCAATATTCAGGATCCAAACCTACTACTGAAGGAAGAAAGCCAGTGACTGGACTGAAGAGCCCAGCACTCCAGGTATGTATTCAATTTCTTTCAAAAATAAAGGGGGCAAAGGCTGCTCCATAGGGGTGGGTGAAGGAAACTGGGGGAAAATGGGGGAAACTGAAAATGGGCTTTAAATCGGGCAAAGCAAGCAGCATTTTGTGTTGCTAACCACTCATATACCACTATCCCACCTCAAAATAACCACTGAACCAACACATTCTCAAACAATTCATCCCCACACAGCTACCTCCTCATGTACCACTGGCCCCTCCCTTTTAGATTGTAAGCCCTCAAGACAGGGTCCTCCTTACCATCTTGTCTTGAATTGTATTGTGATTGCAATGTCTTCTTATATTGTAAAGTGCTGCGCAAAATGTTGGCGTTATATAAATCCTGTATATTAATAATAATATACACTTCTGTCAATTAATGCCCCTCATCATGTTAGGCTCTTGTTTCTATCAACCTTTTATCATGTAATGTGGTATATTTAAATATAAGTACAAGCAGGCAGCAACTTTATTGACAAAGATAAACAATACACTATCACATTCAGCAAGTGAGATAACATTTCTTGCAAAAAGTTTACAGTTTAAGACGAAAGCAACCAAGGAGGCCAGGACAAAGGTGGCAGAAGAAAAAGCAAGACATTAAAAAAAAGGTGTGCCAATGTGACCAACATTGTCTACTGTTGTGGAGTGTTTAAACATTTTAGAGCTTTTTTCTCAGCATAAAAAGTTTGAAAAAGCCTAGGGAACACATGAAAAATGCTAAGGATCTTTGTCATGATTTGTTAAAACTTCAATGCCCACAACTAACCCGCCCTCCCCCAACACATTAAATGAAAGATCCCTGACAATTTTAAAAAGGTAATTAGGCACTGCCCTGTACATCTGTATTGCAGTTAAAAAATGTTGCCCACTCACAAACAATTTTGAGGTATTTTCCATATTTTGGGCTAATTCTCACCAAAATCAGCTTAAAATCTTACCTCAATAGAGAAAAGCTTTCTCTTTAACTTAAAAGCCAGGTCTTTGGTGTCTGTTTCATCACAAATCAAACTATTAAGTCGAGGAATCTTGTGGACATACAGCAAACCTGCAGGAGAACAGAAAAGAATGAGGGGGGGAACAAAAAAAAAAAAAAGGAGAAACAACATTAAAAAAAAAAAAAAAATCTGTCTTGGAGATGAATAAATTAAAGACTTAAAAGGCAGCCTTCGTATATTTGAACACATTCACTCCCTTTTATCTATTTAGACTCGAGCTTGCTTGTGCGACCACTCAAGCAAGCTGGGTGATTATGCTCAAGTAATGAAGCAGAATAAGATAGAGCAGTCCTAGTGCACGGAAAGCTAATTGCACTTTGGTACAGATGTAAAGAAGGATCTTAATACTTGTCAAAGCCACGGCAGATTTGTGTGCGATTTTCTTCTTGTATTTACAGTAAGCAAATCCCGCTATCGCCTTGCAAGCTGCCTACTGCTCTCTTGGACTGAGCTTTATTTTATTAGCTGCACCAATAAGCAGCCAACACAATGCGATTTATGGGTTACTGATAGCCGGTGCAATACTAATGAAGGCTATTTAATGTTACACCTTGTTGCTTAGCTTGTTTCTGGTGTGAGAAACTGTTATTTTTAGAAACTTAAACGGTCGGAAAAGACGGGAGACCAAGACCTCCTTTCCTTCTCTCATTTTTTTTTCTTTCAACAGGAAAGAAGTGTGTGTCAGTGTTCCGTTCTTGTATACAGGGTTTCAAATGCCATAGGTAGACTGCCAGCCTGGCATTCTGTCAGCGGAAATTTATGCTGATCCTTTCTGACAAGGACGCTGGATGGCTTTTTGTGCTGCCGAAAATAATTTCTTAAACAACCCAGGGGTAATTTTCCACGGCTGATAACTGCGAAACGGCTGCAACCGTCCTGTTTTGAGGAAGGAAGAACTTCTATACAACATATACAGGGTATTTAATTATACTAGATAGAAGACTGAAAACAAAACAAAAAAGGAAGAAGAAAAAAACCCATCCTATTGGAACAGTTAAATATCAGATTTAACTACTGTGGTCCAGTTCTGACCCTTTTTATTTATAAAAAAGGGTTACAAGGGTTTATTTAAATGATTTGCTTTCATTGTTGTTATCTGTTTATAGATTAGAAGTTTAAACCATATGGCTTGACGTTGGTTACATTTAAGATTCAGATCCCTGACAAGCTAAATGTTTGATTTATAGGTTACGAGAAATATTAAAATTATACTACCCATGGCGGCAATAGTTATTTTAACAAATTAAAAATACTGTCCTGAAGATTAAAGTGGTTTATGTCAACCGCAATTGTTTCAAATGTTAATATTCATAGAATATTTGAACCTCATAGCCAAAAAAACAAACAAAAACACAAAAGAAAAACAGAATTAATGCAAAAAGAATAAAAAAAAACCCTGAAGAATATAATGAGAGGGAAATGGTTGCAAAAATAAAATAAGGGCAGATGTAGATTTAGGGCGCACAAGCCTGACAGATATCAGTTTATATACAATATACAGCACACTTGTAGGTGTAACTGTACTAACTGTCATTTCAGTCAAATCAAATACAAATTAAATGTGTGATCGTCTTTAAAAAATTAAATAACAAATATAAACAAACAAACAAAAAAACTTTTATTAAAATTCAACTGGCTGCCTTAGTCTAAAAAAAATGACCCATTTCTGTGGCTGCAGCCAGAGTATAGAGGAGAATTTGAGCCTCACCAAGGTTACCATGGGACTACAGTATTTGTAACCATAATAAAGGCAGTAATTTATGCAAACTGTGAGCGCCGCCCTGAATTGGAACGGTTTGCCATTCATGCCTTTCAGCATTCACATTGGACACAAGTTAACCCTCAAGTTATTCTCTCAATCAGGAATTTAAATTTTAAGCATGCACAACTAACGTTAACATTTACGTTTGGATATTTAGCAGATTTAAACAGATGTGACCAATATTTTTTACTAGTTAATACAAAAATCTTAAAGGAGTTTTCCACTTTTTATTTTATAAAAGGACTCCCCCCCCCCTTACCCAACGGAGACATCCCCCATTTAGCATCACAGTTAGGTCTATTCTCTCTGTGCTAATCTGCTTTCTTCCACAGCGCAGCTTCAGGACAGGACAGGTACTGCAATCTGCACATTTAATAAAAGATACTTTAAAGACACAGTTCTATCTGAATGGGAAGATGTACAACTGAAGAACACGAGGCAAAAATGCCTAAAAATACAACATGTAAGGAACCAGGCGTGGCCTTAATTAGGTGTGCTGTGATTCTGAATACTCTTAAAAAAACAATTCAATGCAACAAGGGAAAGCAATTAGCCAACTGATTATGCTTGCCAGGAAACAATGAAGCCGAGCTCAAGTTGGAATCCCTGCTTAATTTGGTGCCCAACTCCAGCTTAGAAAACGAATGGGAAGATGTACAACTGAAGAACACGAGGCAAAAATGCCTAAAAATACAACATGTAAGGAACCAGGCGTGGCCTTAATTAGGTGTGCTGTGATTCTGAATACTCTTAAAAAAACAATTCAATGCAACAAGGGAAAGCAATTAGCCAACTGATTATGCTTGCCAGGAAACAATGAAGCCGAGCTCAAGTTGGAATCCCTGCTTAATTTGGTGCCCAACTCCAGCTTAGAAAACGTATGTAAACCCTAAATCTGTTTTTCAGTATGTTTGGCATCATGCCTCAATTTCTTAAGCAACTAATTTTTTTTAAATAATCTGTTGCAAAGTTTCTTGCCTAGACATCATGGCAAAAACAGCATTTCCTGTTGCAGGTTGACAACACTAAGCTGCTGCCTTGCCAATAGCAGCAGTGTTGTCAGTCTGTCAGGTGTTCTCTTTTAGTTGGCCATTGAGGTCTATCAGATAATCAGCACTATGGGCAACATATTGGACTGATCACCAGTCCCTTCTAGTACTTTGCTTACAAATCATTCCTTTTTACATGCTCACAATTTGCTGCAAATGTCTGACTATAATCAATATTGTAGAATTAATTTTGCCATTATTGTATTCTTTCATCATAATAATCCTGTAGTTCCTCCTGCCAACCTCAACATCACTACAAGACAGTAATAATGTAGAGAGCAGCAAATCAAACCACTGAGCGCAGCAGGGGACCAGGAACTTGACTCTCTCAGAAGTATTCGTCTCTGCAGGATTCTCAGACAGCTGTTTCTCTTCAATACTGCAGAGATCAGTGGTCTGGGTGTTGGTGAGTTTTTAATATCTTTTTTTTTTGCAGAAGCCTTTTTTTTTGTAAAGTTTTATTATAGCGACTGCCATTTTAAAGAAAGCCTGTACTGACAGAAACATGGGAGCTGCCATTGTTAGCATCCCTCCATGATGCTAGTTGTCTGCCTGCTGACAATGGCCCTAATAATCATTTTACGTTCTCATGCATATCCCCTGCCACAGATTTGAGTCCATTAGAATCCATTAAATATTTCAACACATTGACTAAGCCCTGATGAAGGGGAATTGTTTGGCCCCTGAAACGTATTGCAATCCTGTTGCCTAAGTGTGGAATTTATAAAAGACTTTGGAGTCCTAATACCTGTTTTTTCTCATTGGTTCTATTACATGTTAATTTTTCCTAATCTAGGTGGCCCCTTCCTGTGAGGGATCCCCTGCTGTGTGGAGAGCTGACAAACTCAAGCCATCAGGCCCGAATAGTCCCTGTTTTCTACTAACAGAAGAACTGGGTCTAGTGCTCTGTTTCCACCCATACCTGTGGTTTTCTTTTTGTAGGTCAGGGGTAAGGCTAAGATTAGGTTTAAAGGTATGCTTTATGTGTAGAAGTATTAGGATTTAAAGGTTACACTATGGTTAAAAGACATGCATAGGGGTTAGGTTTAGGCTTACAGTTAGTTTTAGTGGGCTAAAGGTGTATGTGTTTAGAAGTGGAGGTATAGCTAAGCTAGGTTATTATTTGCTGTGTGTACCAATTGGGAAATTTACCTTAAGTTCTTGTCCCAGGGACACAACAGGAAGTTAGTGGAAGTGAAGGGAATGCCCCTTTTATGCAGTTATCCACAGGACAGTTGTCCCCATTGGAACATTTCCCCTTACCCATTGTTCTGGGGACAACTCTAAAACTCTGGATTTCCCCTCACTTTCTCTCTTAGTGACAATGAACACCAATACAGATAGGAGGTAAAGCTCCCCAATGAGGTCACAAACAGCAACAAAAAAATGACAAAACGTCTAACCCTTCCCCACGCTAAAAACAAAAGAAAAATGTTTTGCTTAAAGATAGAAAATATAGAGTTATTCTACTATATTTGCTATGGGATATTGGTAACTCAGGAAATTTTCTTCTTTTTCTTATGTTCTGTTTGTATGGAAATGTAAATGTTTTTGAATTGGTAGAGATAAAATTATAAATAAAGATTTAATAAAAAAAACAAAACAACAACAGGAAGTTAGTGGAAGTGAAGGGAATGCCCCTTTTACGCAGTTATCCACAGGACAGTTGTCCCCATTGGAACATTTCCCCTTACCCATTGTTCTGGGGACAACTCTAAAACTCTGGATTTCCCCTCACTTTCTCTCTTAGTGACAATGAACACCAATACAGATAGGAGGTAAAGCTCCCCAATGAGGTCACAAACAGCAACAAAAAAATGACAAAACGTCTAACCCTTCCCCACGCTAAAAACAAAAGAAAAATGTTTTGCTTAAAGATAGAAAATATAGAGTTAGTCTAAAAGTGAATGTAAAGGCAAAACTTTTTCTTTTTAGTTTCGAAAACAGTATGGAAGGGTTAGACTCTTTATCAAGGTTTTTTTTTTGCTGTCTGTGTGGGAGATTAACCATCTTTTTTTGTTCTAGTGATCACTGTCATTGATACAGGAAGTAAGGGGAAATCCAAAAATTACATTTATCAGATTAAGTAATAAAGGAGGAATCAACCCAATGGGGACGAATGTTCCAGTGACAATGTTCTGAGAGGGTCATTGCCCTCACTTGGATCCTGTTGCATCTCCAAAACAGGAAGTATAACATGTTCCTATTGAGGACACATACAACAACAACAACAAAAAAC